GTTTTTTTTTTCCCTTGAGGTAGGATCCCTTGGCAGCATTAATGTTTAGGAATTGATTTCAAGCTAACAAAAAGCCCCACCAGGTCAAGCCAGGGAGTTTTGCACCCATTTTGCCCTCTTGACCAGCGAAGCCCAAGGAGCCAAGATCTGCTCAAGGTGGGGAACTGAAAGGCAAGATCTGGCTGGGCCAGAAAGGGCAGATGTAGCACAGGCTGGAACCAGGACAGGGCCAAAATAGCCAGGCTCAAAAGCAGCCATGACTGCAAAGCTGGTTTAAAGGTAGTAGTTAGTCATAGGGTGAGAACTGGGAGAAATGGGATAACAACCTTCAGAAACTGCTTTGGATTTGCTTTTTATGTCTCTCCAGCTTCTGCTCCAGGCCTCTCCTAGGCTGTCTTTGCATGATCAGAGCAGGCAAGGGCTTTCCCCCCCCCCCCCCTCCTGTTTCCTCTGTTTGAAACCACTTGAAACTGAGCACACAGGAAGCCATCCTGTATTTGGGCAGGGCTCAGCATTTCCCAGAGCCCAGCACACACTGATTTAGAGGGGAGTTGCACCAGTTGGTCCCATCTCCAGTACTGGCAGACCTGGCGGTGCTGCTGGACACACAAAGCCAGCCCTGTCCATGGCTGGGGCTGCCCAGCTCCATCCACATCCCATTTTCCTCCCTGGAGCAGCACCCAATGGCGGGAGCACATAGGCAGGGCTGGTTGGTGCCAGGGAAGTCATCTCCCTTCAGTCCTGATCTAGACCTTCCCATGTTCTGGCATTTGTAGGGATGAAGAAAGGAAGGGGAGGAAGCACAGCACAAGTTTCTTCCCTCCTTTGCCTGCTTGGTGTGTGGCTCCCAGAGTGGCACCCTTCAGAAAACACTTGCACGTGATAAAGCGTGTTCAAAATGTTTTGGGTTTTGTTGTTTTTTTTAATTATTATTAATTTTTCTTTGGTCCTCCCAGGCCACCCTCAACGGGGTCTTTCCCCAAAAGTGAGGTGGTGTTACCCACTCATCCTGTGCTAAGAGCATCTGCAGGAAAGCCCAGGCTGGGCAGTAACCCCTGGTATTGCCCTTGCCAGCTGCTTCAGCCCAAGTGGCAACACCTAAACATGCACATGCATGTGGCATTTTTAACCTGCAAGGGGTTTCTCTGGTATTTAAATAGAAATTGCTGGGCTTGATTAGCAGAATATTCATTGAGTTCATTATCACCCCATCAGGCACTTCCCTCCCTTGTGCAAACAATCTCCAGTAGGTGTGGGCTCCTCCCCACTAGTGAGCAGTGGGAAAGTCACTCTGATTATTTCATAGGGTTATTCCCATCTCAGCCCTTACCAACAAGGTAGCCAAGGCCTGTCCAGCCTCCCAGCTCCACCATCTCCCCATCTTCATTCTCTCACTCTCCAGCAGCTCAGACCCACTGTGGTCCCAACCCACCTGCACTAGGACTTTTTTGGGGGCCATTTCCCCAGTTCCTGAAGGACTGAGTTGGAAATCCCATTTCTCCTGGAAGGCATCTGGCTTGTGCACCTGCCAGCAGAGTGTCCAGGTTCTCCTCTGTGTTACATCAGTGGACAAAGAGCATTAAGTTGTTCCATTATATAGAATGGAGGATTTTTATATTGTTCTAAATTTGGGTAAAAATGCCTAGGATTTGGCAGGTTTAGTTCCCCAGCCCACATGGGCTTTTACTGGCCTTTATAAAGTGTCATATATGGAGTTTTGGGTGGGGGGGAGAAGCCATGGGAAGAGACCCCACATGGCTGCTGAACTCCTACAGAGAAAGTCAGATGTGGTGCCTTAGCCCTGGAGATGGGCATGTCCACGAGTTTGGATCCCACGTAGCAAAGCCATGACCCAACCAGCATCCACACTTGGTGCCTTTGCCTGGTGACCACTCACAGAGCTTCTCCAAGGACCGGCGGGTGGGGAGAGAAGCCCCATCTCAGCCAGCTACTCAGGACAGATGTTTTTTGGCAATAAAGACACAAAACAAGCAGTGCCTTAGCTGCCTTAGTGCACAGCTTAAGGCCTGGGTCCAGCCAGACCATCCCTCCCTCACCTCCAGCTTTTTGCTGACAGACCCTCCCAATCAGTGGCCTTTGCATGTCCCCCTGGGTTCTGAAGTTCCTGACATGAAGCATTATTTGATCCCTTTGTCCATCCTTTCCTCCTGCATCCCAGCCCCCAGGAACAGCACCAGGTTACCAAACACTGACACCCCCAGTGCCTCACTGATGGTTTTGGCATCAAAACTATTTTCAGGCAAAGCTTTGAGGAAGTTGCCCAGGTCTGGGATGAGGCCAAAGCTCCTCATCCCTAAAGTCTCCAGGCCACAGAACACTGCTGCCAGCCAGGGCAGTTTCACTCTAACAAGAATATAAAATAAAACCTTGAAATCTTGACTAACAGGTTTGAGTATTTCAGATGTTAATTGAAGCTTGAGGGATGGGAACAGACCCAACCTTGGGCAGCAGCTCCTGGGTGGGGGAGGCGGCTGTGCATTCTCTAACTCAGCCTTTAGCAGGATGATTAACACCAACAGTTTGTTGGATGAAAAGTACTTTGATTTCTGAGTTCTACTTTTCACCTGCACAGAATTCTTGTATACTAGGTTTTTCTATACATTGTTTCTGTATGTACTGTATAAGTAACTTATTCTTGAATAATGCAATTTTACCATTAAAAAAAAAAATATCTGCTCTTAATAAACTGTTTTTAGAACTTGTTTCTCACTTCTAGTCTTTAGTCTGATTCTAGGTACCTGGATGGTATTTTAAGACACTGGATGCTAAAAGACAGAAACCCTCCCTTAGAAGTGAAAAGCTGCCAACCTGTGGGACAAGCTGGTCCTTCTCAGATTTGTTCAAGGAGTCCTGCCCCGTGTCACCATGGCTGGGAGGGGCTGATGGCCCTGCTGCCCACCCACACATGGATTCCACACATTTCCCTGCATGTTTTCCACCAAGTTGCAACGGAAGGGCTGTCCCTGCAAGGCTGTACACACAAGTTTACTTGTCCAGTAGAATCCAGTCCAAGCAGCATCACCTTCTGGTCAGCCAGGGCAGGGTGCAGAGGGTGAGGAACACAACAGCACTTCACACACAGCCATCACTACCCTGCTCCTTACTGAAGGATACACCAGCCAAGCCTTCTCCTACCCTTCTCCCACTCCCTTTTCCTCAGGAAGACTCACCCCCATCACTGCCTTTCCTCCTCCAGCAGCACCACCTCTTTGTAGTTTTATCACCTCAAGGCCCACTTGTGGCACCTTGGGTGACACCAGCCAGGACAGCAGAAGGCTCTAAGGAATCCACCTGAACACAAGAAAAGGTTAAAAACCTGAATCCAATTTCTGATCTGGAAACCTCTGATGTCCAACACATGGACCTGGCAGCAACAGGACACAGACCCAGGGCCAAGCTTACCTGACACCACATCAAACACTCCCTCCAACCGGGGTGGAGAGCTGGAGAACACATTAAAGACACACACACTAAGTGGGTCAGTTTTTAAAACTTTTTTTATTT